TCTACCCGTGCCCTACCTACCACGCTACCACCCAATCAATAATACATAGGATCGCCCCGCCCTCGATTTACATCAAAATTCATTTTATTCATTTCTAAAATCCATTTTATATTCTTCTTTTTTGTACATTCGAAACTACTCAAACGTATATTCTTTCTCAAACGTATTTTTTTCTTTCGAAATTTTCGAAACACATAGGATTAAACATTCTCTCTCGACATTTTATCTTCGAAATTCGAAAATCAGTTTAATCAATTCTTTTTTCGAATTTTTTTTGAAAATTTCAGAATTAATTAAATTCTTTTTCGACATTTTTTTTTCATAATTTGAAAACATTCCTTATTTTTTTTCGGAATTTTTGTAATTTGGAAAACATTTTAGAATTAATCAAACTCTTTCCCTTTCGTAACTCGAAATGCATTAGAATTTTTATTTTTTATTTTTCGACATTTCCTTGAAATTCGAAACTACTTTTAATTCATTCGTTTTTCTCTTCGAAATTTTTGAAAATATTTTAGAATTCATTTAATTCTTTTTCAACATTTCTTTTTCAAAAGCATTTATACTCAAATTTTATTTTTAATTATTTTGAAAATTTAGAAAATACGTTAGAATTAATTTTTTTTTTTCGATATTTTTTTTGAAAATTCAAAAATAATTCTAATTAATTCTTTTCCTAGTATCTTAATTCACAATTTATTTTTGCAATTTTTGTTCGAAACTCCTTTTACAATTCGGAAGTACTTTTCTTTTAAAAAATTTATTTTAAACCCCTCAATTAATTTCGACTAAGTTTAATTAATTCACGACTGAATTAATCTCTTTATTCGAAATTAATTATCCTTTTTTTGAAATGTCGACATTCTCCTTTTGAAAAATTCTTGCCAAATATTGTAAAATTTTCCTCTTCTAATTATTTTCATAATTTTATTTATTTATTCATTTATTCATTTTTCCCCCGTAATTCGAAAATAGTTTCTTTCGAAATTTCACGTTTTCTTGTAAATAATTTTAATCTAAATTAGAATTTATTTTTTCGAAATTAATTAACTCTTTCTGATCAGCGTTTATTTTTGAAAAAAAAAAACCAAAAAAAACACACTTGGGGATTATCTTTATTTTTGAATTTATTAATTAATAAATATGGGATTCCCCCCCAACCCTCCATATGCCACCACGCCAAACCAAGAACTCCCAACGCGCCGCCTTCGACGCCGCCGCTGCCGCCGCCACCGCTGCTGCTGCATCCTCCACACCCGCTCAGCCCACGTTCTCCACCCGTTCTTCCCCCGACATGGCCGCATCCTCCATCAACATGTCTGACATCCGCACCGACTCAGTTGATAGCATCGCCCGCAACCTCGCAGGCGAACAACCACHAGCAAACACCGCCACCCTCGACCTCTCCACCATCCTCCACGCACTCAACACCATCCGAACCTCTGTCACCGCCTCTCTCGACGACATAAAGGCCAACGTGTCATCTTTATGCGACCGCGTCACCACGCTCGAAGGGACCACCCCCCCCATCACGGTCGTCACCACCGCGCAAACCACTCCCACCCCCATAGTGCAAACTACTCCAACCTCCACAG